AAAAATTCATGAAAATTGCAGAAAATTGCAAGAATTGCAGAAATAGCAACAATTGCAAAAATCGTGAAAATTCCTGAAAATTGCAAAAATCGCAAAAATGCCTGAAAATTGCAAAAATTACTGAAAATTGCAAAATTTGCAAAAATTCTTGAAAATTGCTAAAATCGCAGAAATAGCAAGAATTGCAAGAATCGTGAAAATTGCAAAAATCGCAAAAATGCCTGAAATTTGCAGAAATCGCAAAAATTCCTGAAAATTGCAAAAATTGCAAAAATGCCTGAAAATTGCAAAAATCGCAAAAATTCCTGGAAATTGCGAAAATTGCAAAAATTCCTGAAAATTGCAGAAATAGCAAAAATTCCTGAAAATTGCAGAAATAGCAAAAATTGCGAAAATTCCAGAAAATTAGAAAAAATTCCTGAAAATCGCAAAAATGCCTGAAAATTGCAAAAATCGCAAAATTTCCTGAAAATTACAAAAATCGCAAAAATGCCTGAGAATTGCAAAAATCGCAAAAATGCCTGGAAATTGCGAAAATTGCAAAAATTCCTGAAAATTGCAGGAATTGCAAAATTTCCTGAAAATTGCAGAAATTGCAGAAATTGCGAAAATCCTAGAAAATCAGAAAAAATTCCTGAAAATCGCAAAAATGCCTGAAAATTGCAGAAATCGCAAAAAATCCTGAAAATTACAGAAATCGCAAAAATGCCTGAGAATTGCAAAAATCGCAAAAATGCCTGGAAATTGCGAAAATTGCAAAAATTCCTGATAATTCCTGAAAATTGCAGAAATTGCAAAATTTCCTGAAAATTGCAGAAATAGCAAAAATTGCGAAAATTCCAGAAAATTAGAAAAAATTCCTGAAAATCGCAAAAATGCCTGAAAATTCCAAAAATCGCAAAAATGCCTGAAAATTGCAAAAATCGCAAAAATGCCTGGAAATTGCAAAAATCGCAAAAATTCCTGAAAATTGCAAAACTCGCAAAAATTCCTGAAAATTTGCAAAAATTCCTGAAAATTGCAGAAATTGCAGAAATTGCAAAAATTTCTGAAAATTGCAAAAATTCCTGAAAATTGCAAAAATTGCAAAAACTCCTGAAATTTGCAAAAATTGCAGAAATTTCTGAAAATTGCGAAAGTTGCAGAAATTGCAAAAATCGCAAAAATGCCTGAAAATTGCAAAATTTGCAAAAATTCTTGAAAATTGCAGAAATTGCAAAAATCGTGAAAATTCCTGAAAATTGCAGAAATTGCAGAAATTGCAAAAATCGCAAAAATGCCTGAAAATTGCAAAAATCGCATAAATGCCTGGAAATTGCGAAAATTGCAAAAATTCCTGACATTCCTGAAAATTGCAGAAATAGCAAAAATTGCGAAAATTCCAGAAAATTAGAAAGAATTGCAAGAATCGCGAAAATTCCTGAAAATTGCATTAACACCTGAAAATTGCAAAGATCGCAAAAATTTCTGAAAATTGTAGAAATTGCAAAAATCGAAAAAATTGCAAAAATTCCTGAAAATTGTAAAAATTCCTGAAAATTGCAGAAATTGCAAAAATTGCAAAAATTAAAAAAAATTGCAAAAATCGAAAAATTTCCTGATAATTGCAAAAATCGCAAAAATGCCTGAAAATTGCAAAAATTGCAAAAACTCCTGAAAATTGCAAAAATTGTAAAAGTCCCTGATAATCGGAAAAATTGCAAAAATTCCTGAAAATAGCAAAAATTC